TGGGCCTTTTTTCCGATGGGTTTTGTGGGCGGGCCGACCGCAAATGGCGGGAAGGGTAAGGCGGCCCCGGCAGCGGCCGCAGCCGCCTTTCCCAATTGGATGCCACCTGTCTTTTCGACGACGCCTCAGAGTAAAACTCCGGTGGCTGCCACGGCGGTCCCCATGGCCAATTCGGGTGGAGTGATGGATGTTTCGGATGGGAACCCGGATTTGGGGACTAATCAGAAGAAGAGGGGACGGCCCAGGAAGGTTATTTGATTTGGTGGTTTAAGGCAGATGACTCTTTGTAATTTGTAGGTTGGTTTTCTGAAGCTGCTCGGTTTGGAAAACGCGGAAGGTACTCTCTTTACAGTCTTTACTTTTTGTTGTTGTTGATCTTGGGGTAGAATGTAATTGTTGCTTTGTAGATGTTGTTGTCTTCTGAAGTTATTGAACTGACTGCGTTTGTAGATTTTGTAGTTGATTTGTAATCAGTAATGTGATGCCATTAAGCTTTTTCAACCATTCTATGGAGCCTTTTGTTGTCTCTTTATACTGGATGCATGCACATGTAAATTCTGTGGGTGCATGTCTGTCAAGGTAGCTGATTAGCTGAATCATCTTTGGTGTAGATAAACAGAACAGAACTGAAATCTTTTTTCTTTTTTTTAACACTCGAGTTCTATGATATCGTAATGAAGAAAAAATTTGTGATTGTTCATTTCCTATGGTAGTTACTGTGTGCTGTTCAATATGTAAAAGAATGCAGAGGTTGACAGACAAACAAGAAGACTAAAATTAAATTAACCGAGGCTATAGAGCAGAGGGTAGAGACTCCATGAAGTTTAAGTACTGCTTAGATATAAACTCATTACCTTGCATTCAGGCTTCAGATAGCACTCGGAACTGATTCTAAGGAGCCTAACTAATTGTTTCTTCATATGCATATTTTCTGTGTCGGTGAAACTCTAGAAGAATTGTGCACTCGAAACTTCATGTCATTACTTCTATAGTTGCAGATGCTGCATCACAGCAGTTACAGCATCCCCTGTTATAAATGAGTATCAGCAGCTGTTTTTGATGTAGATGATGAAGTATAAAGGGTGAATACTACCTTTAAGGCTACAAGTTTTTCCAGTGATTTGTGTAGATACATAAACGTTCTTTGGGGAAGAATTTAAAGAAATTTAGAATGGAATTGCTGTTAGTCTGCCTTTCCTTAGACCGAGTATTTTGTTGGATACATCATTGTCATTGTTTTTGTTCTGGGTCAAACTGATTTCCTTGTAACACTTCTCAGAGCAATTGCTGCGATTTTAGGAAACAGACTACTGCAAAAAAGAAAAAAAGAAAAAAAAAGAGAGAGAGAGCTGTACAACATGATAGATTTGGTTTTGGATTAATGGTATACCCTACAAATGCCTGTACTTTTACAAGGGACCACGTGCTTAGAGAGAATTTCCATTTCCACTTAACGTAGGAAAACATTGTACTTTGGTGTGTGGATTGTCCTTTTCGCATTTAAAGGTGAAAGTGATCCTTTTGCATAGTCTTCATTGCTGAGGCGTACGCAAATGGGATGAAGTGAATTAGGATGGATGGTTAATTGGCATCAAATTTGATTGACTTTATGAGGAGAAGTTGATCAATTTTGCAGGTGCATGCAAATTTACAGGTCCTATTCCTTGGCACCAAATTATTGCAGAACTGGAACTTAGATGCCCAACTGCTGTACTCATACGAATTATTATTATTATTATTTTTTATATATGTATAATTATCTTTGAGTTTGGATCATGTCATTGTCTTTTGGTTTAAGGATTTTTGCGGACATTTTGACATGAGGGACTTAAAAAAAAAAACAAACAAACAACAAACATAGGGTCGTGTGGTAAGCTTTTTCCTTCACGGGTTTGTCCTGTTTTGGGGCTTTTTTTGACAAGGTTTTGATGAGACAACCTCAGGGACCGCACGCCCCTTTTTTTCTTTCCAGTTGTTCTGGTTACAAATTAACGAAGTTTCTCTTTCTTTATTTATTTCAAAAAATAAAAAAAAACGCCTTTTGTCCTCCCTCCCAAATGGAAAAAAACAAAAACATGAAATTCGTTTTCACGGATGAGGGAAATTTCCAACAACGTTTGCAGGCAGGCATATGATCCTCTTATCTTAGGAAGTTGAGGTTCCACCCCAAAATCAATTGGCAATGAGGGGAGTAGCCCAACTCCTTATAAATCCAGGCTAGGTCCCTTAACATTTCAATGTGGGACAAATATTCTCAACACGCCCCCGCACGTGTGGCGAACTTTCAAGCCTAACACGTGGACAACACATATTGGGTGACGTGGGAGCACGTGTGGCCGTTGGGCCCAACACGTGAAGCCTTGCTCTGATACCATGATAACGAAAGTGAAATGTGCAGAGAAAGATAAGGAGGAAGAAAGCTAGAGAGAGAAGACACGAATTTCTAAGAGAATTTTACTGGTTGTATTTTCTTAATGAACAATTACTGTACATACCAGCTTTATACAATTGCTTAACAATTCCTAACTGACCACACTATATACACGTGATCTACAGTTACAGATAATATGCTGACTAGACATGTACAGTTATCAAGGAGAGCCAATAAATTGTGTTATTCCCAAGACTCTTGGATAATGCTTGCTTTATGGACAGTCTGACGATTCAAGCTTTGGAATTTCTCTTTATTCTTTCTGTCACACCAACATGAATTGCCACATTACCTTTTTAATTTTCTTAAATTTTGTTATTATTATCTCTGTCAAGTATGTATCACATGTTTCTGTTTCTTATCCTCAGCTTAGTTCTTCCTGTATCTTTTGGCCGGTAAAATTATCCATTGATTGAAGAAAGAGAGATAACGCATAGAGAGAGAGAGAAGAGAGAGAAGAGAGAGAGAGCCATACAAACCTGGGAGACTAAATAGACCAAAAATATAATTATAATCAAGAAAATACAAGTGTTGACTTCATCAAATAAATTTAGAAACCATGAAAAAGCTGACTAAACACGTAAGAATGTATTTTGCCTGAGAATCCATCCCAGCTGCAAACGTGTCCTTCTCCGCTATTGCCATCTCATTGTGCCTTTCGTGAGAAGAAGAGGTTTGCAGCTGGGATTGGCATTGCTATAGCGCTCAAGAGGTGCTATTATGTAGGTGGCAAAGATGTCAATTATCGAATAATCCGACTCCAAGGAGCTAATTCAAAGTGTGAAGGGAAATATCTCAAAAGGCAAGTGGAGCTAGCATCTATCCTATTTTGACGATGAGAATCCGGGAAGTGAGTAGATTCAGGTCGTGTGTTTGGCGTTGGATTACACGTCAAGCAAATTCGGTTTCTGATGCCTTGGCAGGAAGGGCTAAGAAGTTACAAACTCATTGCCTTTCGTTGATCAGGCTTCAGATAGCAATCCTAACTAATGGATAACCGGCCGACTGATTGTTTATTCATATCCATATTTGCTGGTGTTGGTGAACTTCTAAAGCAATCTTGCACTCCAAGCTTCATATCATTACTTGTATAGTTGCACCTGCTGCATCATAGCAGTTGCAGCATCCCCTGTTATAAATGAGCGTCACCAGGCTGCACATGTTTTTGATGCAGCTGCTGAATTTATAGCAATATGTAGCATTGTTGTATGGCTGTTACTTCTTACTTGGTTCCCAAAGGCTCCGTTTGGATGGAGGGATATAAAAGAAGGGATTTGGATTTGAAAATAAGGCAAAATTTGCTAACAAAGAATAACCACATTAGATTAAGGTCATTTGGAATAACTAGATGTAGTATCACATGTAATTAAGGAATCATTTGAAATCCATTCTTGTACTAGTCTAAGGAATCCTTCCGTCCATATGGAGCCTAAGTTTTTCCGGTCGATACATAATCTTTCTTGGTATTCCCTTCGGGGAAAAATTTGTTAGAAATTTAGAATAGAATTGATGTTAATCTGCCTTTCCTAGACTGGCAGTATTTTGTTGGTTTGGTACTAACAAATTTCCATGTAATACTTCTCAGAGCAATTGCTGCGATTTTAGGAAGCAGACCACTGCAAAAACACAAACTTTGACAACATGATAAGATTTGGTTCTGGATTAGTGGTATACCCTACAAATGCCTGTACTTTTACAAAGGGACCACATGCTTTAGAAAAAATTTCAATGTCCATTTCCATTCAAGTAGGAAAGCATTGTACTTTTTTTTGTGTGTGAATGGTCCTTTTCGCATTTAAAGGTGAATGTGATCCTTTTGCAAATTCTTCATCGCTGAGGCATACACGAATGGGATGAAGTAAATTAGGATGGATGATTAACTGGCATCAAATTTGTTCACTTTGTGAGGAGAAGTTGATCAATTTTGTGAACCAAGAAAAAATAGGTGCATGCAAAGATTACAGGTCCTACTCATTGGCACCAAATGATCGCAGAACTGGAACTGAGACACCCAATTGCTGTGCTGATATCAAAGTATTTTTTTTTTTTTTCCCATATATAATTAGTTATTAGTTTTAATTATGTCCTTGTCTTTACATGAAATTCGTTTTCACAGTTGAGGGTAATTTAATTTGATTTTTGGATAATCTGCTCCAACAAGCTATGCAGGCATATGGTCCTCTTATCTTAAAAGAGCCAATAAGTTGTGTTATTCTCAAGCATCTACTCTTGGATGATGCTTCGCGGGACAGTGACAACTCAACCTTTGGAATCTCTCTTCTTCTTTTGTCAAAGGTAGGAAGGGGAGGGGACATACTCACACATTGACGTCTAGGTTTTGAATTTGAGACCACTCATTTTAGGCCAAACATACTTTTTCACTATGGTATGACGTCATTGGCACTTTGGAATCTCTCTCTATTCCATCATACTTTGGAAAAGTTATTGTGTACATATCGCTTGTGTAAGTAAAATGCTTAGACATGCCACTTTTTTATACCACTTTATAATACCAACTTATGTGGCAGTTGACATAATAATTCTGAACCCTTATGTGGCAACTAAAATAATAATCCATGTCATCTACCACATCAGCTCATATTTATTATTTTTTAATTTTTAATTTAGTAAACAAATTAATAGATATCTAAAAATATGCCCTCCCCTTCCCTCTTCTCTCTTCTCCTCCTCCGCCCTTCTTCTATCTCCCCTCGCTTCTTGCCCGCCCCTCCCCTCATTTTCCCTCTCCTCCCCAGCTTTGGATGGCTTTGTTGTTTAGTCGTGTTGGCTAAATCGATTGGATGCTCTTTCATTTTGTTTGTCTTCCTTTGTAGATTTTGGATATAGACGAGGTGGCTAAGCAGCTTTTATTTTTTTGTTGTGTATTTATAGTTTTCTTGATTTGTAATAATTGCATCAACTCCTCATGAGTTCGGTGTTTGATTGTAATCTAGTCTCCACTTGTATTTTGTACTTATGAGAGTTCAAAAGTTGTTGTATTGGCATATTTGGGCGATTTGATCCATGTCAGGTTCGTTCAGGTGTGCTACTTTTATGCAGAAATTTCTTTGGCCTTCTG